GCATTTTAAGATGTGTTTCTGCCGGAGACTGCTTCCTGCTGCCCTCTGCCGACCTAAGTACAGTTATCAGAAGAGTGTCAAGCATTGTTGTCCCTGGACTTGACAGACTAACTTGAGAGGATGAAAAAGTGACTTAGGAGAATTCTACCAAGATGTAATGTGAAAGAATAAATAATAATAGGCTTTCTCCTTAAAAATATGGTTTGCTATTTTTGTTGCACTTCATCTCAGCTATTCTGTAAAATACCTAAATTACAGAATCACAGATAGCTGAGCTGGAAAAGACCCATCTGGTAGTCCTCTCTCATTTACAGATGAGGAAAATGAGATCCAGAGAGATTCAGTGGCTCATCCAGGCCACCCAGCTAGGTAGACATAGGTGAGAAATGAATGCCCCAAACATTTCAGGTCATAAGCAGAGGGATGATCTTCCAGTTCCCCATACCTCATAGGCACAGATTCCTGGATCCCTCTGCAGTCTCATTGAAGGAGAATGTCTAAAGCTAGGATTTATGAATCTCCATTTTTATAAAAGCTACTCAGATGATTCCTGTGCAACCAGTTCCTTGGTCAGAAACTGATATTAGTACACCTCATGGATCTTATCAGTTCTGTCATCTGTTTTTGGGGTTTGTTTGATTTTTTTTTTTGGACCAGGGATTGAACTTAGGACCTTGTGCTTGTGAGGCAGGCGTGGTACCACTGAACTAAATCTGTAGCCCTGTCATCTGTTTTTGTGTGGCCCACTAGTTGGTGGCTTTTACATTCCTGAACAGTTGGGCATGTGAAAATTGTATGAAATTTCCATGTCCATGAAGTGCTGTTGGAACACAGCCATTCTTGTCTATTTACACCTTGTCTTTGACTACTTGTGCACCACAGCGGCAGAGCTGAGTTGTTGGAATGGAGACTGTGTGACCTACAAAGCCTACAGCACTTACCACCTGCGCATTTCTGCAGAAAGCTTGCCAACGCTGGGTGTATTCTCTCCCTCACTTAAGCTCTGCAAGCACCAGTGCTAACAGGGAAATTCCTGAGCTTTGAGTACTTGTGTTGAGCGAAACACCATCTTGCTTTATGCAAAAAAATGGATTTATAAAAAACTGCATATAAGTTATCCATGAATCTAATTATTTTAATGTCAAAGTATGTTTTGTTATAATGCAACTTGCTACTTACAGTGTGGAGAATTTGCTTTCATTTCAGGAGGTTTAGTGTGGACCAGATGTTTATTTCGCTTTGAATTGGGAAAGATCTGTTTTGCATTGAACTCTGGGAGGCTGAAGCAAAAGCATCATCTGTTCAAGCCTAACCTGGACAATTTGGCAACTGAGACCCTCTCTCAAAATGAAAAAAAAAGGGGTGAGGATGTAGCTCAGTGCAAAGGGTCTGGGTTCAATCCCCATTAGTACAAAAAAAAATCTCTTTTTGTACATGATGAAGATATAGGATATAAATATTTAGAAAGGGGTAATTATTTTATGTGAACTACTCAGTACCTAAATTATGAAATTTCTGTTTCACCCATAAAATGTCCCTAATAAAGCCTTTCTACTTGCAAAATCAGTTGTTTAATTCACTGAAAATATATAGTTTTCCTTATGATCATCAGTCTTCCACTTGCCAATCATAACTACTGATTCAGAGTCCTTGCTATGTCCTAGTTTTTCTTCACCCAAGGTGTACCAGTTCCAATTACCTGATGTCTTTCTTTTTCTTTTCTCCTTTTCACTCACTTTCAGACAACATAAGTATTTGTTCATTAACATATCAGCAGCCACTTATGGAGCACATGCTATATGCCAAGTCCTGCCGTCACTGATTCTGTGATAGGAAATACTCTCCGTGGTGCCACTAGACCTGTATTTCCATCATGGCTAAACTAAGGGACAAGAGAAATGGAAGGTGCAGAGTATGTTACTTTTTAAAATCCTGTTGTTTGCCTCCTAAGGCAGGTAGGCAATTTAATAAAGGCCTGGCCTGCTGGTTTTTAGGTTCTAGGACATGGGCCAGTGTTCTTTCATTGTTGCTTAGCTTCTTTGTGTAGTATACCCAGGGGCTCAAATTTCCCATTCACCAGAGAATCCATCCCCCACACCAGCTGCATTCTCTACTATATAACCATGAAATTGCCTCCCAGTCTAGCACAGTAGAAGCTGTAGAGAGACTCTGAGCTCAGCATAATACACTGCTCTTTGCTGCATGACCTTTATAGGTAGTGTCCCTCTCCTGAGCTTTTGTAAGGTGCATAGAGACTAATAATTCCTCCTTCAGCATAATTCACAGGAATATTATGAGGTTGAATGAGGTTATTTCAAAGGCCTGGCATTTTCATAGAGAGAGTTGTTATAGAAACACAGAAGAGTACAAGTATTTCAAAGAGGGGATTTGAGAAGTCCTGCCTGTTTGTTTCTTTGAGAAGCCAAGAAACAAGAACCGTAGCTCTGCCCTTGACCTGTTTCAAGCTAACTCCAGATCTACTACTTCCTCTTGCTATCGAGATTAGGCCTTCTCTACAGTGTACCCCACCAGAACCAGGACACTTTAGTGCTAGGAGAATATTAGCACACATAACATAAACACTGGATGGTGCAATGGGCATGTCCAGAATATATGTAGCTCCATTGTGGCTGTGCTTTTCTATTGGAAAGAGACTGGTGTGACCCTGGCAGACTAGGAAAGGAAAGAGCAGATGGGGAAAGGAATGTTTTTTAAAAAATAAAATCTGCTGACAACTGTGTATTGGGAGCTCATGGAGTGAACATTATATTGGAACTGTGGGGGGAAGTATATAAGATTGGTTTCTGCCTTCAAAGAGCTTAAAACCTAGGTTTAGGGTGTGGGGGTAAAAAAAGAAGTATGGTATTAACTGTGGGTTTTTCATAGATTCTCTTAATCAGGTTAAGAAGACTCATTTGGGCCAGGGATTTAGCTTAGTGGTGCCGTGCCTGTCTCACAAATGCAATGTTCTGAATTCGATCCCTGGTACAAAAAAAAAAAAAAGACTTTCATTTATGTCTAGTTCATTGAGTGTTTTTATTATTAAATGATGTTGGATTCTATCAAATACTTTTTCAGTATCTGTTAAGATAATCATGTGGTTTTTCTTCTTTATTAGTATAGCCTATTAACATTGATTATTTTCACATGATATACCACCTTTCCATTTCTGGGGTAAATCCCAGTTGGTTGTAGTGCACAATCCCTTTTATATGCTATTGGATTTGTTTGGTGGCATTTTAGTTGAGGCTTTTTGTGTCCATATTCGTAAAGGGTATTAGTCCAGAGTGTTCTTTTTTTGTGGTATCATTATCTGTTTTTTTTATCAAGGTAATATAGTTCTTATGGAATGAATTGAGAAGTGTTCCCTTCTATTTTTTGGAAGAGTATGTGTTAATTCTTTAAACATTTGGTAGAATTCGTTAGTGAAACCATCTGGTCCTGGGCTTTTCCTTGTGGGGGTTCATTTTTTTAATGCAAGGTACAGAAGAGTATTTATAGTAAAATCTCATTTGAGGAGAGACTTTTTAAGGATGTATCTGTATGCTTATACAGAAAATTTCTGAAAAAAAATTTCTGGAAGGTTATACAAAAAAACTGGCAGCAAAGGTTATCGTGGGGTAATGGGATAGAACTTAGTCTTATATTCTTTTTTATTATAAGCACATATCACTAAATTAAAACAAACACTACTTAAAATTACTTGCACTTGGATATTTGCTCTGTGTGTTTGCCTCTGGCCTTGTCTCGTTAAGGACCCCCAATCTAGTAGGCTTTGCATCTTTCTCCAGCATCACAGGCCACTGGTCCTCCTGACCTGTTTTCCATCAAAATGGAATTCTTTGTCAACTCCCTAAAAACAACCTGCAGTTACCCACTTTTGTACTTTTATGCAGTGCTGTTCCCTTTTTCAGTTATCCCTTCCCCTTTGCCCAATTTCTCTTAATTCTTGTTTTTTCCTTTAAATCCTCTTCCAACTATGAATTACCTTACTCTGAGTACTTTCTAATTCACTCTTTTTATTCTCCACCCAATCCTTTCTCATATATTATAGATATTTTAGTTTTGAACTTTGTACATATCCTCCATAGTAATTACTAGTTCATATATATCTTCTGTAGAAGTACAACTCTATTCAATTTTGTGTCTCTGGAGTGTAACACAATGCTTGGCACAGAATAGATACTCAGAAAAAATCGAATTGATGAAAGAAGGTATTTGGGGTAGGATGGCCAGAGCTGTGCATTACCGTAACTTGTTCTGGGAACGTGGACTAGGTTGTCTAGATAGGAAGATGTGTGCTGGGAAACACAATTATTAATGACTTTGACAAAGCTGATATTAGAGGCTCTTAAAAGCCAGATCAAGCAGATTGGTAGGTAAATATTGATTAAATGAAGAGTTCTCGCTTCCTTCCAGTCCTTGCTCAATTCTCTTCCCAGTAAGTTTGCCCTGACCATTCCTTTAAAATGTGTATCTCTCCATTCATCCCATGCCCCTGTGTTCTTTTCCTCTCGTCTTCTTCCTTTTTCCCTAACACATACACCTTCTATGTATCACAGTTTATATAATTTATTATGTTTTATATTTATTGTCTGTTTTTCCTGTTGAAATATAAACTCCCCAGGCCAGGACTGCCTTTTTCACTGATAAACACCTACAATGTGTCTGACACATAGTAGGTGATCACTTGTTGAATGATTAAATAAAAAATAATGAAATTCAATATCTTGTCCAGACCTGGAGTAGATAATTTAGGTATAATTTGACTATAACACTGTTAAGATTGTGCCAGCTATTTCTAATATAATCTGGGGTAGAACAGGGAAGAGAATGAGGAAACAGGAAATGTGTTACCTTAAGATTTCTTCTTTAAAAACTAAATTGAGAAGTAAAAATTATAAGTACCTTTGAGTTTATTTCTTGCCTACAAAAATGTTGTTTTATATGGCAATTAACACTTATGCTTTAATAATTTCTCTTTTTTTCTTTCTCCACAGACCTTTGTAGTATTAAACAGAGGGAAAACTCTCTTCAGATTTAGTGCCACGCCTGCCTTGTACATTTTAAGTCCTTTTAACCTGATAAGAAGAATAGCTATTAAAATTTTAATACATTCATATCCTTTTCAGCAAATGAGGAATGAATGCAGCAACTGCATGATTGTGTATGTTTCAATGTTTGACAATTGAATTGTGTGTTGTTTCTTATCAGTGGTACAGTTGACCATCCCATTAGTCAGAGTTTAAGAGAGGGGTCCTGCCGAATCCCAAGCTTAATTTCAAGAAACTCTTTTTTCTTAGGATGATATTACTGGAATTTTGTTGGTGTCATTATGAGTGACAAATTGAGATGGTAACCTTTTATTGACGTCTTGACTTTTTAGTAATTCCCACAGTGGATTGTTTAGCTTGTTAAGACCCAATATTGGATTTTTTTGAAAGCTGCTTTTTGAGTTGCGGATTGTTAAATGAATGCTTTAGAAGTCTGCCTTGAATTTTTCTTGATTTCTTGAGCAGTGAATTTAGAAAGTATCTGTGATAGTTATCAGACAAAATAGCCTCCTTGCTAGAGGTTTAGGTGCAGATTGCAGAATAGAAATGACTCTCTGAGATTTTTTTATTCCCTAAAATAGAAAAATGACAGTTTATTCATGTGACCTTTTTATATCCTATTCATATAGGAGAGCATATGACATGTGAAAAATTATGTGATGAGTTAAGCAACTTTGCATTAGTGACTTTAAATTTGCATGGTTGGTGTTTAATTTAATAGTACTTAGACTCATGTTTCAAAGAGTATTGTATCCTCCAAAGAGAATGAGGAAACCAGCAGTTGCAACTTAATCAGTTTAGTAAGCTCCTTCTGCATTGGAACTCTATGAATTTAGCAACCTGATTTTGAAATCTGAGGTTTACAAGCAATGTAGTTCTGAAGTCTGAAAGTTTGCAGGAAAATAATTTACGTGCTTTAATAATTTAATCCTTTCTGTTGGATCAGAGATGGAGTTTTTGTTTTGTTTCAGGAGGGAGGGTCCTTCTGGTTCCAAACAGTATGTTATGGTCCCTTGAAGAAAAGTCCAGTGGTAATGAAGAAAAAAATCTAGTTAGAAGACATGTTTTCTCTTTTTAAAACTTCACAAGTAGAATACAGGAATCCCATTAACAAAAGAGAATGAGTTAACAAATGAAAAATGGCTCCTGTCCTTGTTAAAGTGACAGTTTGAGTAACTCATGTTAACCCTACATGCATTTAATTTTTCTCAATAGACAAGAACAGAAAGTGCTGAGAAAGATTGTGGATGGAATTGAAATGGCAACAAAATGATGACAAAATGGCAACTAAATGATTTGCCCCATCACCTAATTCTCAGGAGTATGCAGGTGATGATGTGCTTGAAAGGCGTACCTAACACGCCACAGCTGTTGTCCACAGTGGGCTTATTCAATGAGTATCAGCTGGTGCCTTCTCCCAAAGACAGTTTAGCCCTCCAAAAGGACTAGGGGGGAAAACAAGCCATGAATTACAGTACATGTAGATTTTCCTTTTTTTAATTTTTAAAATAAATTTTATTTTATCCCATCCTCCCCGTAATTCCCTTCCCCTCCCTACATGTAGATTTTCAAGTAACTAGTTATATGGGATAATTGACAATAAGTGAATACTAGATAATACGAATTTTCTCACCTGATGAGCTTAGAGTCTGGTAGACTGGTAATTAATTTCTGGTTACTAATAAATATTTAGAAGCTTATTCCATAGTCAAGATGAAAAGTGGTAAGAACAAGAAATGTCCGATGCCAAAGTAGTAGAACAGTGACAGCCTTTTTGAAAAGAGAATAACCATCCCACCCTATCCAACCACGGTTCCTGGTCTGGTGGAGTTGTTCACAGTATCTTTATTTGTTGGTGATGGTGAGTAGTTTTCATTATCACTTTGCCTTTTCTCCATTTCTGTGCTTTGTCTCTTTTCAGGCTGTTGATTTAGATCTCATGATATCCAGTATGAAATGTGTTTGTATTCTGAAGGGAAAAAAAAGGCCAGATTTCATATATTCCCCCTTGACTCTTCTCCACAGTATTTAGCATGATCATTATGTGCACTATTTTGACCAACTGTGTATTCATGACTTTTAGTAACCCTCCTGAGTGGTCGAAGAATGTGGAGTAAGTAGCACTTTATTTATCTTTTTGTTTGTTTGTTTTAAGATTTTTTAGTCATTGAATCTTGTGCTTTGCTACAGTTTATCCATCAAGAAAAAATATAGTTATTGCCACTCTTTCACAGAGAGGGCTGACCATACAGGTGGAATTTAGAAACTATCCCTAGAAATCAAGTCTAGAAAGAGCAGCTATATTCTGGAAAGCGCTAGCCTTTACCTCCACCCTTTCTTGTGCTAGCTGACTCCTTGTCTGAGGCCCGTCTCCATCCTGTGTTCGTCACTTCTTGATGGTACTGTCTTCTCCAACTTTTCCTTTTTTTTCCTCTTTTCTTTCTTTCTTTTTTTTTTTTTTGGCTCCTTCACTCCAAAGTTATAAAGAGTTCTGAGGACCTCTTACCTGCTCCAAGAAAAGCATGAACTATGGTACATAGCAGTATACTGTAATACCATTCATGCCCCAGGGCAACACTCCACAGTTCTGGTGTGGGCATTTCAGTCAGTTTCATTCATACAGAGCCTTCCTTGCTCCCCTGGCTTAGTCCACCTGTGTTGTCAGTGTGCTTTCTGTTCTATGTTAATTGAAGCTAAGCCTCAGGCAACTGTTATCAGTGTTATTATATGTTCATTTAAAGTTTCTGTCTATTCTGAAATTTCCTCAAGCTATCCATTTCTTTGACAGGTACACATTCACAGGGATTTATACATTCGAATCAGTAGTGAAAATCCTTGCAAGAGGTTTCTGCATAGATGGCTTTACCTTTTTACGGGATCCATGGAACTGGTTAGATTTCAGTGTCATCATGATGGCGTAAGTTCTCTACTTAACTTTCTTGGCTTTCTGGGTGAGAGAGATTGTGTGTGTGTGTGTGTGTGTGTGTGTTACTCTGAGTGTGTTGGCATGAGAGTGTTTGTAAGTGTGAGTTTGTGGACTCTGGTTTGGGGAATTAATGGGTAACCATGTTAGGTCTGGTGAGCTTATGCTATGGTTCTTGATTGTGAGGCCCTCTTGTTTTTCAGGCAGGGACAGTGCTTATGTGGGGAAAGTTTAGCAGAGGCTTTGCAGCTGGAGGGAAAGCCAGGAGTAAGGAGTGATTTCCTCATGGTCACTCATATTTTATTCCCCCATATGACATTGACAAGGTTTGCTTCTCTGGAGGCTTGAAATTTTTTAGGTGTAAACCTTCAGCTGAAATGTGTTTTCTGGGAATATCTTATCATACATGATATAATGAAACTGACTAGGTATTGCAGACTTAAGAGCATGCTTTAGAGTCAAAACATGAACAAGGCATCCAGACTGGTCCTTCCTAAAGAGTTACTAACCAGAAATTTCTAACTATTACTAGAGACCATGTAACTCCACACTGGTTTGCTATCTGCTTCTAGTACATTATTTGTGTTGTTTTCACAGTGACAGTGTTTCTTTGGGAAACTGAGCTGATGAAAGAAGAGTTATAGCAGGCATTAGTATTTTTATTTCAGGTTGGGAAAGTGTTTTGCAATTTAAGGGTGTGAGGGGTGCTTTGTAGGTTGTGTATGTGTGTGAGCACGTGGGAATGTGAGAGAGTATTTGCAAATGTATAGATCTGAGCATCAGGTAAAAAAATGTATTCCCACTCTAAAATGTGAGCTAACACTATCCCTTAAATATTTGAAAGTGGAACTTTGACTTTCTGGTATATAAAAACAATTTCTAGCTCTCCAGCATTATGAAATACACATTGGTGTCCTTTAAAAATCTAAGTGTCCTTGGACAGAACTGGTGATATAATGGGCACTTAACCCCATACTTACTTGCTCTGATCTCATGATCTAGATTTTCCTGAGCCCTGCTTTTTGCTGTCACAGGATAAAACGTAATGACTACAAACATATCCATACATCTCTTGGATTAGATATATATACAGCCATTTAGGCATTTTTGCCACTGGCAACTAGAGAGATACTTTAACATAGGTTTGTTTTCATGGATCTACTGCTGTAGAAACGTCCCTCCCTTTCTTAAATGATTCACAAAACTTGGATAATAAGCCTTTGATATCTTTTGGCCTTTCTTTTTACTAAAAAAAAGTAAATTGGTTGATAGTAAAGACATTTTGATTGGGCTTATCACATCACTATGCTGATTAGGAGAGTAAACTCTAGAACCTCCTGGTTGTACCAGTTCTTTTTAATACACTGTTGAATTCTCCTTGTCCAAATATTTAAAAAGATGTGTTTCTTAAATGTTTATATTTTGAAATTTTTCTTTTTCAGAGAAAAAATGAATTCTTAGCTTGTATATAAGACCCTTTCTTCCCCCCATCCTCAAACCCTCACCCAGTGGTACCATTACAAGTTAACTTTGGTTTGATTCTGCAGGTATATAACAGAGTTTGTAAACCTAGGCAATGTTTCAGCTCTGCGCACTTTCAGGGTACTGAGGGCTTTGAAAACTATTTCGGTAATCCCAGGTAAGATGGCCCGGGGTTGGTGTTAGGTGTTGGGTTAGGGCCCTGACGTGACGTATTGTACTTTTTGTTTTGTTGTGGTTCTGTTTTTTCCTTTGGTGTTTGTGTTTGTGTCTGTGTTTGTCATTTGTGTCTGTGTGTGACCTCCCTTACTACAGATATGTGACAGAGTTTGTGGACCTGGGCAATGTCTCAGCGCTGAGAACATTCAGGGTTCTCCGAGCTTTGAAAACTATCTCTGTAATTCCAGGTGAGAAAATGTGTGCACAAGGCTGACTGCCGCATCTCCTATTTCCCTCCATTCATTTTGTCCACTACATTCTAAACTGGTGCCAACACAGTTAATATGGCCTTGCATTCTGCATGCTTTTCCTTAGAGACATTCTCTGGAATGGCCTTTTGGTCCTGAGGTAATTCTCTGTGACTGTGCTTGCCAGGCATGCAGCCCCATCTCATTCATGCTTTTGAAAAAGCACGTGCTTAAGAATCCCTTGGATCTTACAATATCTGAAAAAAATCATCACAGAGCTAGCTGTCTCTTTGTATATAAATCATTTAAATTCTGGCCTCATGGAATTACAGTAAACTTTCACCATCATTCCATTGCTTGTGGTTTCTAGGCTTCCTGTGGCATGGTTTACTAATGGAATGTTATTCAAAGAATTTTACTGTTACTGTACTAATGGAATTACTGAATCACAGATAAGACCCAGTTAACTACTCCAGAATTATAGACAAATTTAAGACCCTTGGAGTTAGTGAATTGAACTTTAATTACCACTATTTATCATGCTTTGCTGCTGTTTGCTCTCCGAGAATGAGAACCAGTATACATCTGCTATACATATATTCAGGGAGCATTGTCAAACATAATCTCAAAGAAAGCTTATGCAGGTGCTGTTTTAAAAAATCAAAGGTAAGATAAGATACAACTAAATAAAGATATGGGCAAACAAAAGGTACAGAAACTTGAAGAGGAGAAAAAGAATCAAGTGGGTTGAGATGTAGTTGAGTGACAATCTCTTTAAATTTTTTGCCTTTTTCTTTTTGGTCCTGTTTAAGCTAGCTCAGTGGTTCTTAACCTTTTGAAGATTTGGATCCCTTTAAGAATCAGATGCAAGTTCACAGACCTCCCTTAAGCCTATCCATGGAACCCAGGTTAAGATCCCTTAATTTAAATCATTGCAACTGGATAATATTTGTCTTTCTAAAGAACAGTCTTGAAATCTGGACGGAAAAACATTTAGTCAGTCTTGCAAGCCTAAGAAAGACTGGCAGTAACTTGGCAAAAGTCAAGATATGTTAATGCTATGAACTTTAGTTGTGTTCAGGGTTTTTAAGGAAGTCTCCCTAGAGGCTAGTCTTTCCACAGCAATTCTATACAATTAGGAACATAGAGAACAGATATTCTGATTACATGACCTGTCCCCTGTGGCTGACTTAGAAATATTTCTCTTTTCCCCTTTTCAGCATTATCTAAATATCAAATAGTGAGAGAAGAAGCACAGAGGCAGAGTCCTGGAGAGGGCAGACTTGGAGTGTGGTTTACCAGGCACCTCAGGGAAGATAAACCCTTAGGCAGTCCTTGTCTAATTTTCTGAGGCAGCTGGAGTGCTGGATCTTTACTTTCATTTTTCCTTTGGTCTCATTCCTACCTTAGTCCCTTTTAAATATGATCTTGTGTTGTCTGTTCACTTCCCCCAGCGTACTCTGCAAGGCATCTGTCTCTTTATGTTCTTGTGATCTCAAAACTTCTCTTCCAGAATTAAATTGGAAAGCTGCATTCTGTTCACTAACTGGGGCAGCAGATGCTATCTCTAGTCTAGCTCATCACTTCTGTCTTTGTCTCTGCAGTATGATTAACATTTGACCAGGGCATTTCTGCAAGGTAACTCTTGACTGGTGTCACATTACTTAATAGTGTAGTGATATACATACATACAAAACTATATAGTGGCTATAACACAATGCCTGGCTCATAGAAGTGCACCATAAATGATTTTAGTAGTAGCAGTTATTATCACAAGAAGAAACCTAAGCCCAAAGATAAGGTTTATATCAAGATTTAGACATTAGCTTCACAGTTTGAAATAGATTCCCAGATTCCTATTTCTAGAAGCACCTCCAGGTGAGCTGGCTTTAGGAAGCTAACTGGGATGGAAAATAACTTTAAGGATACTAAAGCCAATATTAGATCATTGTCAGTAAAAGGTATATTTGGTTTTTTAATCAAAGTGTGACTTTGAATTCTAATCTTTTTGTTCTCCATTCTACCTTTTAGAGTTAGGAAAAGAAATCCAGTGGTTGACATCTCCCTCATGGAGAGAGTTCTCTCAGCCCATGAAAAAGTCTGAATTTGACTATCTTGCTTTTCCCACAGAGAGTTGTTGTCCTCTTCCTACCTGCAGTTGCCCAGGTCTCCTCCCAAGGTGGGGCCACCAGTATGACCCAGTGGATCTGGACCCGTCTCTTCCTTGAAAATCTAAGACATTTTGATACCAGTGTGGTAGAGCTGGGATATAATGTCCCTTAGTAAAAAACAAAACCATATCGCTTTATATACCAAGGTTTCTTGTGGATCACTTCCATGCAGTTGTTTGTTCTCTTTGCCTTCTCCTGTTCCCAGTTTGATAATAAGCTGTTACAAAAGCTGTGAAACCCAGAATAGAAGAGAGTGACCGCGGAAATGACATGGAGCCTACAGTATCTCACAAAGCTCTCCCACAGTCAGCTCCTTTCATGAGAATTTATTCTTTCCTAGAATATTCACTATATCTCACCTGGGCTGATGGCATCCTTTCTTAGCATCTGATAGATATCTTGAATGTGTTTGGGTTGCCAGGACTCCGGGAGATTGGAGAGCAAGGAACATCAGTTAGCTCCAACCTTTTGTATGAGAAATGCTTTCCTTTAGTTTATGTAGCTCAGAAAAGATCAAACTTGCATTCTGACCTGTTTCATTTGCTAGCTCTAGAACTGAATACTATATCACTTGTGGTTTCCCTTTGTTCCAGTCACCAACTTGGAGAACAGTGTGCTTATTCTGTGCTAAGAGATCACTGATGAGGGTCATTGATAGAGGAGTCCATTTCTAAACTGCCTTTGGCCTAGAATTTGCCAGATTCAAATTGAAACATTCTGCCTAAAAATTAGTGTCTTAAAACTTTGTTTTCACTTTATATTTATGTGGGGTCTTGGTAGAAAATAATGAACTTCTAAGTGACTGTCAGGTTTCACCTTCTGCATTCTTTGGTCATATGCCACAGGAACAAAACACCTAAAGGTAGGGTGAGAATGTAAATAGAAGTTTCTCAAGCTTCTCTTGGAGAAGAGCACTTCATAGCGTAACAAGAACCAGTTGGGAAATCAGACTTGTTAGTCCCTTTTTATTTCCATCATTTAAAGGGCTCCCCCCAAAGCACTACTTATCCATGCTCACCAGCACTGATTTAATACCATCATGCTGTCTTTACAGTTGTAATTTCTTGATTACTTTTCTCTTGGATATTTTATTTCTCTACTTTCATTTCTGTTATTTTCACTCCTAAGCATTGAGATCAGGTAGGAGACAGGGAAAATAAATGGCTCTTCTCTTTCACATCCCAATGCTGTGTTTACAAAGAAAGCATTTTCTTTAAATGTGTGCATTGCAAATGTAGCAATTTCTACTGCATAATGAAGGGGGATAGAAAAAAGTGTTTTAAGAACATATTCAAGTCAGTTGCTTTTGTACTTCACCTTCTGCATTGCTTGTTGGAAAGACAACTAAAATTTAATAGTGGCCCTAAGTAGAAATGCACTAAAGATTCTCAGGATCCCACTGACTGACTCTTGAGAGCCAAGAGTTTTGGTCACACTTTGTGATGTGAATCTGGTTTCCAGTAAATAAGTCTATGACCCCATAATCTCTCCCAGATTACTCATTATCCTAAAAACCTTCAAGAACTGTCTTTGTGAGGATTGCATTTGCAGCAGGAAAATTGATAAGGCTCTGCTTCTCCCTCAGCCTTATCCGGCCCCCAGCCAGACTCTGGGAATGGGGAGCTGTTCTTTTTCCTGAGCTGATAAGTGCTTGTAACTGCTACTGAGGCCTGTACCAGTATTAATTTTGTGGGAGAATTCGCTTATATTGCTTCAAATGACTTAAATTTCTCGGTCTGAGCTATGAACAGGGAAAGGTGAATTAACATTTATAATCTGGCCATCACAATGGCAGAAGACCTTGATCTCGATATGGCTGGTTTCTCTGGACATAGCACATAAGCTGGCTTTGTTCATTTGTTCAAGGGATTGCTGGGCACTATGAAAGGTGACAGGAATTAGAGGTGCCTTTGGACATAGAGTAGAATCCTATAGCAGCAGCTTTACCTGCTTCTCAAAATTCCTGAAATACCTGACTTCCTCTCTGGTGACCTTTCTCTATATTGGGTCTGGCTATCTTTTTGGGGACTGTAGTAAATGTATTGGCATCCTCCACTCAGAAATACACCAATGCTATTTAATGTTAGCTTCTTCTAAGAGTTCTCGGTGTCCAATTTGCCCCCATGTGGCTTCTGTTGCACACTCCGTTGTGTAGGAGTCATTTGAAGGAGCATTCTGCTCTTTTGGATAATCAGTTTTCAGTCGGTATCTTGCTTGTTCTGGCATGTGGTGTTGTGAGCCAATAGAAGCAGCAAGACAACTTCTCCTCACAGCCAGAACAGTGGCATTCTCCATTCTTGCTTGGTTCAGGTCAGGAATTCCACCAGCAACCTCTTGCCTCTGCTGACCTGTGTTGGTAGAGGCAGAAACACTTTTGCTGAGATCTGTTTAGATCTGTTTTGGCTAGCCACTGCTGGTATGACTGTAGAGCTTGAGTTTAGGAAAGGGATTGATGACATCATCTTCATTTGTTGACCCTGATATCTCTACAGATGTGGTTATTCTCAATTATCAATCCTAACTGAAGGAAGAAGAGTCTTGCTTTAGACCATTGTATAATTCAGTAACTGTTTACATTTAATTTTGCCATGTAATTGTGTGCCTGCTACAGACATTAAGCCACATCATCTTTTTTTTGGATCTGGATGAGAATCTCAGAGAATAAGTTTTTTAGATGGCTGTAGTTAATGTTACTTAGTGATTATTCTTGCTTAAATAAGATTTGTTTCTCTGGGCCCTTGTAAAGTAAAGTACAAGCAGCTGAATATCATTTCTAACTAAGTTCCTACTTCAGATTCATGAAAGCTAAAAAAGCTCTCACCAACAAGATGTTCTAAGCCTCAGACTTCAAAATACTTGAAGAATTTTTTTTTTTGTAGCTTTTGGACTAATGTGTCCAGATTCTTCAACATTGACATCCAACTTATAGAGAAGAGATGTTCAACCAGCTGTTGTGAGCCTTCAGGTCCCTTCAGGAAGTGATGAGTGCTATGCATGGTTGATATATTAGTTGAGCATCTCTGTGTGCAAATGAAAGAACACAGGAGTTAATTCATGGAACCCAAGGGCTAGAACAGCTTCTTAAGGCCAGTAGAAACCAGAATGCTGAGCCAAAAAGCCCCAGATACTAGGAAGTACTTTGTCTCTATCTCTTTTCTCTACATGGGTTTATTTTCTCCTTTCCTTTCTTGCATACTAAATTCCTTTACTTCTTAGACACATCTTAGTGTGATGACAGAATGTCTGCCACTTAGCTGCCAAAATTATGTATTACTGTGGCCTCCATATGAAAAGACTACTCAGCTAGCTATCTCTTTTTCTGTTTCACATTCCTATAGGAAAGGATTTGAATGTCCATCCTGACCCCTATAACTACCAAGAGGTTGCCTCATACGAGAAGGCTACTGAGAGCTTCCCCTTAAGAAATACTGTAGTTGGAGCTCATGGCCTAGAATTTCTTGTTATGTGGGCTTGGAACTGTCCAGAGTTCCCACCCAGGAAAATTAGATCAGATCCATGCTAAAAGTGTATGCTTTTTAAGTTACTTATTTATAACAAACTCATCTGATGAACTGTTTTGTAGCTTTATACTCCAGTTAAAATAGCAATAGAAGAGGCCTTAAATGATAGGTGATTGTCTGAATCCTTCAGGAGAGGTGATTGTAGTCTTCGTAGAGAAGTTCAAGAAAAGAAGCTTTACAACCCTTCTTTGGTGAGCCACCCAAATATTGTTTTTTAAATCACTCTGACTTTGAAAACAGTAGATCTGCATAATGCTAGAAGCCTAAAATCTTATTATTGACCCAAAGAAGACCCTGACCCAGTCAAAATATAACAAGAACTTTTCTGTGTCCCAGCAATGGTATAGAAATGTATCCCACAACCCTGAGACACTATACTTCTTGGTGGCTGCCTTCAGTTGTATACCACCAACACCTTCTTACCTAGCCATCCCATTATGTGATGTTTCCCAGAGACTTAGGTATAAAAGACAGTTTGAAGTTCCACCTACTTTACTCAAATGAGTAAACATCTCTGCCCTGTTTTTCAAGACTTGTAGAGAGAATTCATAAGCTTCTCTTTCACTGCCCGCTCCGTGCAGTGCTGTTTATCCACATTCTGTAGATGAGAAAACAAGACTCTGAGAGGTGACCTTGAATTGGTTCTAAAACCCTCTGGGTCCTGACTGAGCCAGGACCAGAATTCTTTCTGATTACCTGGCTGGTGCTCTTTGTGCACATCCCTGGAAGGAGAAAAGGAATCAGACTAGAAATGCCTCATTTCCTAGCACCCAGACAAAATCCTCCTAATCCCTGTGGTGGCCACAGTCCCCAGGGAAGGACACTGCAGGAAAGCGCAGGATTCCTTTTACTTCCACAGTGTTAACAGTCTCATTCTTAGCACTTTTTCTTTAATCCTCTTAGATTCCTTTCAGAATATCTGTAAGAAGAGAGAAATTTCTCATTCGTTTATTCTTAGAGCATCCATTGCTGCTGTTGGACTCAGAAAATTCTGCTGGACTCAACTTTGAAAATTCTAGGTGGTTACTTGCAAAATAAAGGTCAGCCAGGTCTATACCATGCTTTAAATCAACTCTTATGTGAAGTTAGCCACAAGAAGTGTCATTATCCCAACAAGGTTTCTTTGAGGAGTACAATTTATGCATGATAATGATATTTACCAAGTCCTGAGTGCAAGTTACATGCCAGGCACTGTGCTAGATTTTTAAAATATTCATTGTGTTATTTAAACTTCACAACAACTCAGGTTGGTATTCTAAGACTTTTTATATAGGTAAGTAAACTGAGGTTCAGACATAATGATTAATATTTGAGTCATTTACTATACACCAGATGCTTTGTTAACCACTCACCAATTATTTAAATACATGATGACCAAAAAATGCATATTTTTCATTAATTTTTATAAGATAATATAACAAAAAATATGAATATAACAACTTTATCAAATTTATGCAATACAAGAATCTACTTGTTGAAATGATACCTGTCTGAGCGATGCTTGGTATAGTCAGTACATAAACAGATACACTGCCCAAGTGACACTCAGGTAAACTGTTAAGTGGTTAAGTGTGTTATACATTTAATCCTCACATATTCAACTATAATTATCTCCATTTTATTTATTTATTGATGCTGCGAATTGAACCCCAGGGTTTTGTGCATGCTAAGCAAATGCTTTATCACTGAGCTACAATTATTTCCATTTGAAAGATGAAAAAAATGGAGAATCCAGGAGGTTAGATGTATTGCTCAAGTCACACAAGTTAAGTTAGTGGTATCTACCTGACACACTTCAAAGCCAAGATTAGGATTCCCGTACATGTCAGTCTGATCTTCTTGCCTTCAAAAGGGAATCAGAGATGAGACCCTTCCTGAGACCTGTATATCTATCTGCCTTCTGCTTATCCTGGCCCTATGGCCACCAGAAGTATCCATGTTTTGTTGGCCATGTGCCATATGATACCCTGGTGTTAAGTAAGCCAAGGAAACTCACCTGTAGACTCAGGCAAGCAACATGAGCGTACAGCCATATCCTTCTGTATAATCCTATCTGATTTTTTTTTCCTATATAATTATGAAGTCTACCTCCTTTGGGGTCAAATTTGAACCTGAAGTCAAAGTGGGGTATATTTTTATTTTAATCTATGACAGATACTCTGGTTTGTTTTCAGATTGTATAAATCTTTCGCCTTTTGCCAGGGATTTAGCTCAGTGGTGTCACACCTGCCTGGCAAGCACAAGGTCTGGAGTTTGATCCCTGGTACAAAAAAAAAATCTTTAACCTTTTAATCTAGGACAAAAAAAATCATTATGCAAGCAAGGCATATATATGATACAGAGAAGGTTATTTTTAAATAGAAAGGCAAACTGTAAGTAGTGGACTGATAATGATTAACCTTTTCAATATTTTGCTATTTCCAGAGCTCTTGGAAAATTATTGTACCTTTTCACTTTTTTTTTTTGTTACCAGGGATTGAACTCGGGTCTTTGCACTTGGACAGCAAGCAGCGAAACCACTGAGCTAAATCCCTGATCCCTACCTTCTCGCTTTATACTGGCTCTTAAACTTCCTATTGGTTCCCTTTCCAAGCTGGAAGCCTCCTTAATCCTTCATTTTTCAAGTTGTTTTTTTAAACAGCTATTTACTGTGGGCAGCTAAGCATTATAGATATAGAATAAGACAGGTATGAAAAATTAATTATAACTATGATCGATGCTATGGAAAAAAGTATAAAGTGCTACTACAATGGTAACAGCAGTAGAGAAGGAAGAAGAGTTGGAGAAGCAGGGAAGCGGCTAGAGGAAGTGATAATTATGCTGAGTCTTGAAGGATAAAGAGTTAGGCAGGGTGGAATGGAAGAGAGTATCCAGGCAGAGAACAGGCTGTATAAAGCCCTGAAGGGTAAGAGTCTGGGTCACTGTGAGAAGATAGGAAAGCACATCCAGGAGGAAAGGAGCCACACATTGGTAGAAACAGCTTTCTTTTGCTTTTTAGGAATTATGACTTAAAAATAGACACCTGTGAAAATTGATCATTTGGCCAACCCATTGTTACTCCCATCATGACCACATTCTGGGCTTGTACTGTGGGGAGGAGCCGAAGCTGAGGCCAAGAGGGAGGGTGGGAAAGGTGAAAAGGGGCATCTAAGTGACTGGCTCTGGGGCTCTGTCTCCTCAGGCCTGAAGACAATTGTGGGCGCCCTCATTCAGTCTGTGAAGAAGCTGTCAGATGTGATGATCCTGACAGTATTCTGCCTGAGTGTTTTCGCCCTGATTGGACTGCAGCTGTTCATGGGGAACCTGCGAAACAAGTGTGTTGTGTGGCCCATAAACTTCAACGAGAGCTATCTTGAAAACGGCACCAGAGGCTTTGACTGGGAAGAGTATATCAACAATAAAAGTAGGTGGCTCCTCCCTCCAAGAGGAAAAGCCTATCCCTAGTTTATATGGTCAGAAGCTACCCCTGGGCTTTAAAAAAAGTAGCTGGGCACAGGAAGGAATGGCTGTGCTACCAGAAGGAGCCTTGTAAAGTCATTCCCTTTCCTGCTTGTCTCCTCAAGGTGGAATTGTGTTCAGAAGCTCTCAAATATCAGCCTTCTCTGTATTTCTTTTCTGCTTCTTTGAAACCAAACGAACCTTTATAGCCCTTGAGCTTTGGCTTTAAAATTCAGGCTTAGAATTTTTATAATGTTCTTTTCCTCACTGGGTTACTACAGATATTTAAACACTTAGTCCATATGTGCTGATGGAACCTTTCTTTATTTAGGAACCTTTCTTTATTCTAGTAGACCTTAGGTATTTATCTGGTCTAGGAAGTCAGGCAATCTCTAGGGCATCATTTGATTCTGTTACAATTAAGGAGTTTTAATAATTTCACTTGAGCCAAAGCACTTTGGTCTTGACATTAAGGGAAAATGTAGTGTAGTGGTATTTCTATAAACTAATGAAAAAGTTAGTAATATGATGACTAGTCATTCCTGAGAAATAAAGTCAGTTAAGTAACCATAAGAAAATGCTGCAAAGGAGATTTCAGGGACTAAAATCCTTGTAGTTTAAAATAAGACATGGTAACTTGTGACCAGTAAGGAGTCTGGAACATGTTAATAACGATGAGTTTTAAGAACAGAAGACTAAAACTGTCTAAAGGAGTAGACAATTGATAGAGAACTTAGAAACTTACTTTAGAGCCTTTTTATTCAAGTATCAGAACCTGACATATAGGTTTGGTGGAACTCAGCATTGGAAAAAAGCATTGCATCAGGGGCTTTGGGGTAGCAATTTTAATTGGTAAATATATATAGGAAAATCATTAGTGGAGAGGAATTCTCATCTGCTTTTACTGCTGCTGGAAAAGAGTTATGTGAGCCAAAATCAATAGCTGTTCTGCTGGGGCTATTAGGAACAGTGTAACCTTATTCTCTTATTCACTTAAACTGCCTATTCATTTCCTGCCTCTTCAAACTTTTCTAGCAAATTTTTACACAGTTTCTGGCATGCTGGAACCTTTACTCTGTGGGAACAGTTCTGATGCTGGGTAAGTAGCTCACCTAGTTTTATTCTCCTTCCTTAAAATAATGTACCTATTATTAGTTGGATCAAAATGACAACATTTTTATTCTCTTTGTGCTCATATAATAGGTGCTACAATTGTCTCTGACCTATTGGTTGATTCATATTTTCTTTCTGTTTCATGTTTATCTCACTAAAGTTAACATTTCACTACTAGGTGCATGCACTTGTAGTCTAAAGTGAAAATCAAAGATGCAAGAGAATAGAGAAAATCTGTAACATCAGTTAGCTTACCTGCCTTTTGTCGATGTCTCTCATTCTGTCTTAACATAGTTGATCCTGTATAGAATGAGGACACGATCTTGGTGGTAGCTTAGCATCCAAGGATGACCCAAAATGTGCTATACCTGACAGACCTGTGCCAGAACAAATAGCAACATAATATTTGAGTCCTAATTCTGCTACTTCTAGCTTTAAGACCCTTGCCAAGCTATTGCACTTACCCGAGCCTCAGTTTCTTCATTCAGAAAATAGAGTTTTTAATAAACCATGCTCTCTCTTCCTCATAGGTTTATAATAAGGAGCCACTGAGATAACAGTCATGGAAGTGCTTTGTAAACAGAGGCTACACAAATGTAGGGTGGTAGTGTCATTATTCAGAGAATGTTGGTCACCTAGGAACTAGTGTTTTAATATAACCATGACAACTAGAAGTCCATTTTATTTCTATATTGTAGTAGATAATAGAGATTACATTGAAAGAAATATCAGTTGAGTCTAAAAACAGAAGAAATGGTACAACTGAGGTCACTGAAATCCCCATATATCTTTGGTTATCAGAGCAGATGTTAGGACAGTGAGGACTAAGGAACATCTAGGCAGTTGTCATTTGGGATAGTAGCTAAGTAGAATTTTATTTAGTTGCACATTAATAGGAGTCTAGGACAAAATCATCTGGCATGTCTCATAAATATGCAGTCATAGTTCCCATATCGAAAGCTTTCAATGCCTAGGTCCTAGATAGGGTACAGTACTGTATTTTGAAGGAATAGGCCAGGTGATCCTGATTCTAGGCTCTCCACAGAAATCAGCTAATTACTATTTTCTTCCTCTTTTTCTTTTTATTTATTTTTCTTCCATCTTGTTGGCCTACCTCTCTAGATGGTCACTTCCTATCTCCAAGGTCATGGAGTAGATAAAATTATGTTCTTTATTATCTTCATGGTTGTGACTGGGTAAAATTATGTCACACATTCCTGAACTTCTTTCTCCTCCTCTCTTCAGGCAATGCCCAGAGGGATACCAGTGTATGAAAGCAGGAAGGAACCCCAACTATGGTTACACAAGTTTTGACACTTTTAGCTGGGCCTTCTTGGCTTTATTTCGCCTTATGACCCAGGACTACTGGGAAAACTTGTATCAACTGGTAAGTAATATCTCTATTTATTAGATAATAAAGTCTGCATGAGGATGTGTGGGGTTGGGGACCTTCTGTATGAGAAACCTTTAGTGAAAACATGTGACAGAATCTGAGAATAGCATTTTCCACACTTGGTAGGTTTAAAATATTAAGTGAATTCTCCAGCTCTTGTCCCTATTTCTTTCATTTGTTCATTCATTTTCAGTACTGGGGATTGAACCCAGGGCCATTGCACTGGGCTACATCCCTAGAGTGTGCTGGGATTACAGGCATGTACCACCACACCTGTTTCTTTCTTTCCCTTTTTTTTTTTTTTTTTTGGTACCAAGGATCAAACTCAGGACCTTGCACTTGCAAGGCAGGTGGTGGAACCACTGAGCTAAATCCCCGGCCCTCACACTTGTTTCTTGAATGCTCAAGTCCTGTATAGCCATGGAAGCTTCCAGCATTGGCAGACTGCCTGGCCTGGGTTTCTGCTACATCTGCCTACTTTTTAATGTTTCACTATCTGTAGCATATTTCTTTCTGTATTTTTTAGACTTAGGGCATCTGTTTAAGAAATAGTAAACATTTTTTTTGTGCGGGGCACTGTGGTAAACATTATAAGGGTGGAATTTTTATCCACCAGGACTTTGGAGTCTAAATATATTAACATTTTTGAGATTTGCAACACGTTAAGACTTGTTCACGTTGAAAGGTAAAAATAATGGCTTCTGTTAGTGTGAACACATCATTTAATTTTGCTGGTTGTGATGGAAAAGTTAGTGTAGGTGATTGCTGAGAGAAATTCCACAACAACCCATTGTTTTCTTTTTACTCTGTTATCTGTTGATGCCAGTTAGAGAATAAAATATATGCCTTTTTCATCGTAAAGGAACTTCTTTAAGGGAAGCTTCTAGTTCAGATCCCCAAATCAATTTTTACCAATTCTGTTGGACAGCCTAGAGTTCCCTCAACTTTGAATCTTTCTCATGAAATATTTATGATTGACACTAAGCTTTACTAAGATCGATAATTGAAAGAATAAAGACAAAACCTTGGGAATAGTGGGTTGCCTATAGAAAATCCAAAATCCAATTGTTCTTTGATGTCCACTTGCTCACTATTCTGAAAGCGATAGCCCAGCCCTAGCATCCTCCTTCTTTTTTCCTTTTCCCTCCCCACTATTCCTTTTGTCATAGTGCCATATTCTTCTTCTTTTCTGTTTTTGTTTTGTTTTGTTTGTTTGTTTGTTTTTTGAGACAGAGTCTTGCCATGTAGCTCAAGTTGGCCTCAAACTCATGGCCATCCTCCTGCCTTTGCCATCCAACTATTGGGATTACAGATGTGCCGCCACACCTGCCCGTATTCTTTTTGAAACTATTACAAGAGGATAAGTTGGATGTCAGTCAAAACAGGGACTTCCTGTGAGGTGGACCTGATTCCAAAGATGAAATTTGTTGACATTCATTGAGGATCAGTAGATAAATGAGCTAAAGTCTTGTATTCTTCTTCTTTATACTTGTTTTAGAGCCAACTGATGAAGTCAAGTATAATTCTGAGCCCAGAGTATTTTTTAAATAAATAATTTAAAAATCAAATTTTTTTCTATGAATAGAGTTTATAGGAAATATTTGAAAAAAGAAGGAGACTTTTGTCATAAAGGATGGCAGGTACTACTGCCACTTAGTATGACTTAAGCATAGCAAGGCCATTCAGTCCCCAGGGACACTTAGGGTTTCTGTAGTAAGAGGAGAACCACACAAGGAATGACTGTCCTTTTCAAACTGCCAGTAGTTCCCCTGCAGAGGAACTAAACTCATGAAGTGTCTTCAGCCTGCTTTATTTGATCCAAGTGTCTCAGAAAGTATCTTTGCCTTTACAGACCTTACGAGCAGCTGGAAAAACATACATGATCTTCTTCGTCTTGGTAATTTTTGTGGGTTCTTTCTATCTGGTGAACTTAATCTTGGCTGTGGTGGCCATGGCTTATGAAGAGCAGAATCAGGCAACACTGGAGGAAGCAGAGCAAAAAGAGGCTGAATTCAAAGCAATGTTAGAGCAACTTAAGAAACAACAGGAAGAGGCACAGGTTGGTGATTAATTCTTTGCAACGGGCCCCTCTTCCTGCCAGATCACAGTAACTAGGACTCCATCTGATTGCCACAGCAGTTGATCTTTTCTAGGCACATTGGCAAATAGAGGTTGTTAATCTGATTAAAATAACCCAAGTAACAACTGCAGGTGGTTGATCCATTTGTTCCATTTCTCTTAATGGACAAATTGTAGTTAAGATGCTGTTTTATTTTTTAAGAGATGGGAGTCTCTCTGTGTTGCTGGGATGGCCATAAACTCCTGGGTTCAATTCTGTTCTCAACCTGCTGAGTACCTGGGGCTATAGGCATGGGCCACCATTCCTGACTTAACATGATCTTTTGTTGACTCTTTCAACTCTTTAGTGCTCTGACTGGAAAGAAAAAAAAGTAACCAGAACAGTTATATGGTGCTTCATACAGGAACAGCATTTTTTTGGTTTTTGTTTTTGTTTTGGGGTTTGGGGTTTTTTGATTTGGGCATTGAACACAGGTCCTCACGTATGCTAAGCATGGGCTACTACTGAGCCCCAGGCCAAACCCACCGTTTTTCTGGAAAAGAACATTGGATTCTAATTAAAAAGAAGATAAAGACAAAATAATCGAAGTAAAATTGAAAAACAAACTACATATTAAAGTAAAATTTGAAAAACAGACTTGTAATCCCACCACCTTAGTACTTAATTTTTTTTTTTTTTTTGGTACCAGGGATCGAACTCGGGACCTTGTGCTTGCTAGGCAGGCGGCAGAACCACTGAGCTAAATCCCCGGCCTTAATTTTTTTTTTTTTAAGAAAGGCTCTTTCCCTGCTGTCTGGCTGGCCTTGAACGCTCAATCCTCCTTCCTCAGCCTTCCTAGTGGCCCACCGGCCTCCATCACCACCACATCCAGCTGCTAACACTCAGCTTTCTAATCCTTATCAGAATATGCATGTTATTTTACATTGTTGCCCCCATAATGTATAATAAAGTTTCCGGTCTTTTATTTCCAGAGTCACTCAGAAGGTGTCCCTTGGTACCAAGAAGGCAGTCAGGTTCTTGTCTGAGATATTCAGAAGAATAAACTCCAAAGTCTTCACCACTAGGTTCTGTTCTGATAAAATTCATTTAGAAAATGGAGACAGACAGGCCTGACCACAACTTCCTTGAACAGCCTGGTTCTTCCTTCCCTTTTCTGTTTATGGGAAGGAAAGGCTCTATCCTTGCTGGCTGCCTTGGGTGGCCCCGAGTAATGGTCCTAATGTGTCTGTTGTCTGTGTTCCCTTTCCTAGGCTGCCGCAATGGCCACTTCGGCCGGCACTGTCTCAGAAGATGCCATCGAGGAAGAAGGTGAAGAAGGGGTTGGCTCTCCTCGGAGCTCATCTGAAATTTCTAAACTCAGTTCAAAAAGTGCCAAAGAAAGACGTAACAGGAGAAAGAAGAGGAAACAGAAGGAACTCTCTGAAGGAGAGGAGAAAGGAGATCCTGAGAAGGTGTTTAAGTCAGAGTCAGAAGATGGTATGAGGAGGAAGGCCTTTCGGCTACCAGACAACAGAATAGGGAGGAAATTTTCCATCATGAATCAGGTAAACTCTTTGTGTTGGGTGAAGTAAGCCTGAGAATCTCTAGTGTTCCTAATCCTACTTGATTTTGTTTTCCTCTTTGGCACCACGGTTTCCAGACCTGTCCCTGCATCCCCAGCCTTTCCTCTCCATTCTCCGTGTTCTTAGGAAGCATGAGACTTGCTGAGATCGTGCAAATACAACAGTGTGTCAGGTGAAAAAACAGTGGCCAAAGACACAACCATTGGAGTTTGTGGTCATAAAAGATGGAGCTGATTAAAAAAAGAGAGAGAGATAAACAGCCCTTAGAGATGCTGAGAAAACCAAGAGTTAGGGAAACTAAAAGTGGAAGGATTGGAGAAAGCAAGGCAGTGATCAGTAGATTGAAGTTTAACAGAGATGCCTAATGATATTAGAATTAGATGTGTCTTTCATGTTTGGAAATGCCAAAATCATTGAAGACTTTAAAGATATCTTTCAGTCTATAGTGAGAATGGTTGCAATATTCAGTTTGAAATGGAGGATACCTGTAGGCTTCTCATTTAAGCTTCTTTAAAGAGTATGGATAAAAATAAGCATTTTGGGGCTGGGGATTTAGCTCAGTGGTTCTGCTGCCTGCTTCACAAGTCCAAGGTCTTGAGTTCAGTCCTTGATACCAAAAAAAAAAGCATTTTTATAATTTATGGGAAGAAAAATCCAGAAGAGGGAAAAGTGCAGTTAGAAAATGGAGACTGGCACGCCCTACCGAGGTCGCGAGTTGCCGAATCAGCCCACACCCCAGCAACAATCCACTGGACACCCCGCGCCCCCCCCTCTGTACAGCCACCTGGTTCCGCCTTACAAAGACGCAGAGGACACCGGACCACCAGACCACGGTACTGAGTCCCGCCGCTCCCGGCCCAGAGAGCAGAGAAGCTCAGCCGGTCCCAGCACCCGGAAGGAAGCTCCCTAGAGAAGGTGAGCCACGTGGGTGCCAGAAGCACCTCCCCTCCCATGGAAATGAGAAAACACATAAGCAAGCCTCAAAAACAGACTTCCAGATCACCTACAGCAACCCCAAAGAGAAACGAGATGGAACACTCTGATACTCAACCACCTGGTCTCTCTGAACTGGCAACAAAAGAGGATCTGAGAAAAATGAAATCAGAAATAATTACTCAGATAACAGCAAAGATTTTGCTCATGGTGCAAGACATGATTAATAAATCTAGAGA